ATATTCGATCTTTCACCGACGTATTTGGTATCTGTTGACATTCACCGGTGAAAGTCGACATTCTCCAATTTCGGTCATTCACAGTAACATATACATAGAACGTATTTTATTTCTAGAACTACAGAAACGTGCGTGATTAGTATGAATCCAGTAGCGGGACGACAAAAACCGTAGGCTATCCTGACGAGCCTACTCATCCATCCTGTTTGAGCCGTTAGATGGTTTGGAAGTTCCGTTGCGGATGAAACAAATGTAGTAGCATTGGGGCTTGACTAGCCGAAAAAACGAGTGTTTTATAGAGGAGAAATGGGCGGAGTTCGTTTGGAAATACGGGGGCGTCGATGAAATATGCACTCCTGACCGCGCGGTCGAATTCGCATTCAACCGAATTCTCAATTTCGCGAATAAATCTCGATCTCGCTGACCGGCTTTTCGCGTAACTGCTGCGCCGATATTGCGATGGTTGGCAGTTTCCGGTTGGATGGCGGACGGCCTGGAACTAGTGGCAGCCACGTGAATACAGGAACGTTCTTCGAGTCGATACGTAAGGCTGGCTAACGGGTGTATTTATCATCGCGTGTTCATACACTTCCGAGACAGAGATATACAACTGCTACGGCCTCACGTGCTCGTTTCGGCGGTGATCATTTTTCATGGATGTAACAAGTTTTCGATGTTCATAGACAGGATGCATGACTCTAGCTCGCACATTCTACAATTAATTGCGAAGAACGAGCCCTGAAATGTTTCGTGAGAGGAACATGTTCTGAGACTACCTTAAGTGGCTGTGCATTCTACGTATACTCACAATTCGAGATGAAACACATCGTTTCTAATTAATCGTTAAACACTTTGTTATTTAAGCCGAATTATATTAGCTACAATGGCTCATTTGGTGGTATAGCGTGAAAGGAAGTTTCCATTTGTAAAATCTAGGATTCTTTCGCATTTATTATCACCAAATGAAACGCTATTTGATGTCTAAAGGATTTACACAATTTACACGATTCTAATGAAACAACTTAAAAAATCTCCAAATAATTTTGTTTCATGACTTCTGGCTTATAAACTTGGTGGAAACGATCAACTTACTTCCGAGGTTGTCTTCATTGAAACCACAATACGTCAGTTATGAGTGGATCCTCTATACGACTCTACATGTATAGGCTGATATCTAAGAAGCTCAGAGCTTCCTTGATGGTTTCCCCGTGGGTGCTCTGAAAAGCAATTATGTGGGTGGGTGTATGCACGACGATGTGCTTGCCGGATATCTGCGGTTCGAAGCGGTCGTTGTCGTGGCGGCCATTCAATCCGATGGTATTTCGTCCATAACGTTGCGTTTAAAACGTCAGTTTATCCTTCATTTTCCTTTCGTATTTCTGTCGCCCTTCTTCCCATTTGTCTGTTGGTTTCGCTTATTCTGATTTTATCTCATTTTTGAAAATTTCATGAAATACTTTTCACGAATTCTTATTAATCATATCTCTAATAATGGCTCTTGTCGGGTTAGTAGCTGAAAGGCAAACAAAACTGTAACTCTCCTGTTGAATGTTTTTCCTCTTGGAAATTAATTTCCGTTGAATTTTAGACCAAGTATCACCGAGTCCGCCTTTGAACTTGACTTCAACTTTCCGTATGTAGATAGAACTGGTGGCTTTAGGCGAATTTCATTTTGCCCATTAGAAAGCAAACATGTTTCTGACAAATATGCCATCGGCGACTAGGTCTCTTTCCGTAACAGAAATTATCCATCCTGAATTTATACCCTTCAGTTCCAGTGAACTTTCCGAGACAATGTTACAAGCGTCTGCAATTCTGCTTTGACGCACGACACGCAGCCTGGCTAGCGTCAAGTAGCGCACAGTGGATTCTTTTCTCAAAATGTTGCCAAAAATGCAATTTTTTAAATATATAGCAGCAACAAACTGCTGTAGTATACAGAGCTTCAAATACCGTTTGAAAGTTTCAAATATCGTGAATGGTTACTGAGATATATACACCGTCAAAGTTGGCGAATCATACTCGGTAGTACTACAAAGATGTTGCATTTTGAACGTGTTAAGTAAAAATCGATTTCAATGAAATTTTGAGTATGCATATAGTTTACCGTGATCTATAAAACACATTTTTTAAATTTTCGTTTCAGGTTTAGATAAAAAAGCTAAAAAATGAAAGTTTTTTTTATTTCCTTTTGTCATTTCAAATAGTAGCAAAGTTAAAATAAAGGTATATTAATCATTAGACAATAAACTAGTCCCTTTAACATTTAAAACAAATTGAAGTTATTGGTACAGTTTTAAAAAACTTATAGCGTTATAAAGGATGTAGTAAATATTAAAGACATTGAAATTAAAATCGTCATATAAAATCTTATATTGTAATTATATTTCTAGCCAAATATTATATCTACTATATTTACACTCGTAGTTAAATACGGTAAAATTATTGCTATTTGGAAAGAATTATTTAAACACAGTGTATTTAATTTTTCACTTTGAATTTCGTATTTTTACAACATATTAAAATCCAGCAATTTCTATAAGAGTACTGACATTCATAAAAATCCTATGGAACAAGGAATTGTGGTTAATCTTTTTAAGAAAAGTACCACCGTGCAGCGTCTCTCGTGAAAATCCCTACCATATTATTGTTGCGAAAAAATTATTACGCACCGGTTGCGCCGCAATAATAATGCTCCTGGGTGTACTGCCTCTATCGGGTCTGCGGGTCGTCTTTCGGTTCAACTGTCAGCGTGAACAAAGTGGTCCCCGTGGACGTGACCTTTAACCTCCTAAACGCCACCACCGACTGAAGCGAGAATTCACGCGGCACCGTGGTCTCGGGTTTTAGAACGGTTCGCTACAGTCCAGGGAATAAGATCAAATCGGTAGCAAAAGCGCGTGTAGGCACAAACCCGCGTTTTATCCGACTTCGTCGTTTCTCTGCCGCTCTTTGAAATTCATACCTCTAACCTCGCCAGCGCGGCGCTTTTTACGGCTACTTCAGCGACGGCGCTGCTGCCAAACCTGAATTTCTGTTCCTTTGCCTTGCATCTCGTACCCAGGGGAGACCAGTTCCATGGCTTTTGAGCTTGAGTTTATTCGAGCCGCTTCGGGAGATAGGATGCGTCGTTGAATAATATTCGAGCAAATAGCCAGCGATGCACTGAACGGCCACTGTTGTCACTATTTTACTTTGCATATATCGTAATTGAGAGCGGGATCAAAACCGGCGATTAATAGTTGATTTAATACGTAATTGCAGACGTGTGGCTCGAATCGTTTAAGCGGAAACCTGTAATATTAGGCTTTATGATACTTTTATGTAATAGAGAGAATATTGTAATTAGAATAAGAAAAGTTTGGATAAAAAGTCACGTTAACATTGTGGCATCCGAGTTTATGTTAAAGTGACAATACATCAACGTTTGTGATCATGGATTAAATGTGAGAAACAAATGTGTATAGATGTGTATAGTATGCGCAGAAGTCATAGTTTAAATAATGTGAATAGCGTACAAAAATTGATACCACACAAGAGTATTGGTATACATATATATTGTGTATTGTTATACACAAGAGTATCTTCCAAGGTAATTTTTGGGGGAAATTTTAAGGTCATCAATATTTTATACATATTTCGTACATTATCTCAAATATAATTTTATACATTTCTATTTCATCGTATAGTTAATAAAAATACTACGTTCAGACGTGTTTAATAACAGGACATTTAAATAATCTTGCAATATAAATGAAGCAGTGAATTCAGTAATCATAGTAATTGCTGTTTCAGTTTATGCCAACGTGCAAAGGCTCATTTTATAATAAGTATTTTCGTCTCTTGTCTGATCGTGAATGAACCTTATTTCACTCAACCGCTCATAGGCCACGTTCTATTTCAGTCCAGATTGCACATTTTAATCATAGGTCGCCCCATTGAGCTTGTCGGACAATGCACTAACTCTATTCTACTTGTCTGCACACGGACGATAGCCTAGTCTATTTCTCTGATTATAGGTTGCGCCGATTCTACTTACTTTATCATGGCTCGTCCCAAATCGATTTATCTGTGCATAAAACAGATTCCACTGCATTTTTCAGTAGTTCACCCTCATTCTCTTATGACCATGGACCACTCCCTATATTCTTGTCTAATTATTGTCTTACCACAAGTCGTTGCATCTTAATATCATTTGAATACTTTTAGTCTATTGAAAGATGAAGCGATTGTAAATCATCTTTAGCAAATAATATGTATTACAGATGATCTTAAGGAGAAGTACTTATCTTAGAAATATTTTCAATTGAAACTTTATCCAACTTCTTTCCTTAATGATCACGAATTTGATGCACTTACGACAAAATTCAATGAATAATATTTAAAGTAGTAAATTAAAAGTTTATCTATGTTCTTTTTCAAATGATTCTGCGGATCTGATGCATTTGCGACAAACAAGGTGTCAATATTTATTGTTTTCACTTCTGGATTTGAATTTTGGACAAACGTTCGATGTCGAGTTACAAGAATTTGGTACTCGGTTCCCATACCTGGTTTTTTTGGCTTGGTTCTAGCCCTGACCTACATCCGATGGGTAACTGTAGTCAACGACCACAACAAGCCGAATACCGAAGACTGTGTGTGCATTATTTATACTTTTGGCACGGCGCCTCGTTCTACAGGAAGGATTCCACGGCGAAGCCCGCCGTAGCGGAAGCATTAAAATAGTTAATAAGATGAAGTTTGCTTATGGAAATCCATCATTTTTGAAATGTACCAACTTATCACCGTAGCATTTAGTGCACTCCTTTTTTTATAATGAGTTACGCAGTGCAAACCCATCTTCATAAATAAACAATAAATAGCAAAAAAAAATAAAAATATAAAGTAATATAATTAAATAAATTTAAAAAAAAAATAATATAATTAAATATTAATGTTTATCTTTTTCTTATTTAATTATAATGAAAATTGTATTTTGCATTGTTGGTGGTATCGCTATTTTTTTTACAACTGATTTACAAAATCCTCATTTATTGCAATTTTAAGGTCAATGGATTTATACCGATTGGCTCCAGAGCCGTCCATATACTTTACAATAAAATAAAATAAGAGCGCGTATATAACCTGTAAAATATGTGTGCCATTCCGTTCTTTGACGTCGCAATAAAATTCTGTTCTCTTCTCATCAATACTTAAACATTGTAGATACCCAATAAATACAAATTAACTGCAAAGAAAATGGTACGACGAGGAGTTAAAGAAACATAAGTTCATCCTAACAAACATCTCCGGAAACACACGTTTCCCTAGGTACATCTGTAGAACTTGTACAATTTTAAAAGAGATAATGTTGTAAACTTCGTCGAAATATCTGACCCAGCTCTAAAGGATGATGGTCGACTGGCGAGATGCCGCGCGAAGATGGACGAGCATGATCTATTCGCGCTGCGCGCAAAATGTTTTCTATCCGGCCAGCAGAAATTGTTCCGCCGGAAAGTATTAAAATACTTTGAACGAGAAACAACTTCGGCGAACATTGCTGTGTTCCGTTTCCTTTCGGGTCGAAGTCGAAAATAACCCACTTTGAAAGCGACGCTCGCTCTTTCCCTTCTCCTTTATAGTCTCCGGTAACGGCGTTAAGTTTTACCTTCGACAGAGTATCGAGCGAGGCTGCGCGGTATTAAAGCAAGAAAAACCGCGAGACGGAAGTGTGCCATTTATTCTTAACACCTCGCGACTCGGCTTGCAGCGAGATAACTTTCCCGAATCTCCATAGTCGTCTCACGAAATTCTTACTGGCGGAGTTTTGACGACGGTGAGGAATTCCCGGCAAAGACGGGAGGCGTACTGAAACAACATTGTTCGTCGCAGAATTCATAAAACGTACCGAGTTGGCGCGTCGGGAAGCAGACAGGAAAAGTGCCAGTCGAAGCAGCAGTCGACTCGTTCAAAGACAGATGATCTATGGGCATCTGGATCATCCATCAGGAATTCGCCGAGCTACGATCGAAATTAAAAGTCTCAGAACCTCGTTCCTTATCTCCTCGTTGCCAAGTTTCTCTGACACGAAACTTCCGAACTTCGAGTTGTTTCATTTACCTTGCGCACGATTTCTCTTTGTTTCCGCTTTTTCGATTTTCTTTGAAAACCTTTCAGCTTGCGCGTGCGGTGGTATGGAAAGCGATTTTCAGTGACCGAAATTCAGTTTACCAACTTTGGTATTGTAGGAGGAGGAAATTGGCATTTCTGAGGACTAGGAGTGAATCAGTCGTCGGTCGGCCGGGATAACTTAATTGGTTAAAGTAGCCGCCTAGCAAGAGAGCGAAAAATTCGGGTTCGGATCCCGGTCCCGATCGGTAGACTCATTTTCTAATGTAGTATTGTGCAAATATTTTTTCTATGAGTGACTGCCCTTTAAAGCTGCAAAATCGAAAAGTATTACTAGCCTACGATAACTCTGTAATGAAAATGTAAGTGTTCTAAATACACAGATTTAAATGATAGTTTTACATCTTTTTTATTCATTTTAAATCAATGTGTATTATACAGTGTAAATTGTTAGATTAGACAATTCTCAAGAGAAACATGTAAAGAGTTCAAGTAGTACTACTTTCTGCTAATTTTAACTTTACTGAGATTTTGACAAATAGATGTTCAATGTACGATGTTTTCAATGTTGGAAACTTACCTATATACTGATAGTGTCAACTCTTATTAATGTTAAGTATTAATCTTCCCGTAGAGTATTTCTGTAGCATTTATATTATTTATGCTCCATTTATTTCTATGTTTGCTACATTTCTTGTAGCATTAGTTTTTTTTTATCGATTTTGTTTGATTTTATGTATCTTTAGCTGTGCAAATCTTTTTAGCCAAATCTTATATGAATGCTAAAGATATGGATTACACATATATTATAGTTTATTTATATCATTTATTTAGTTCAGTTGTGCAATAGTTAAACAAGATGTATCGTATTTACCAGATCCACTATTAACACATTTGATACTGTAGTAAAGGTGATAAAGCTTAGGACCATTTAATCAGCTGTTCATCATTATTCATAAACACATAAAGATTTCTTGATCCAATCCACTCAAACGACCTTGAATAGAAATTAATCTTCAGGGGTATTTTCTTTCTTATGTTCTTAAGTAACTATCTTGATCGCAACTAAAATCTAATTTCCACAATGTACCTACATACAGTAGAACCTCGATTATCCGAACTTCTGGTATTTCAATTCTCTGTTTAATAAATATATGTTTCACACTTGAACTGTTCAATTTATGCCAAGCCACATGGAACCGTATTTATTGTATATACAAGTCAGTCGGTTTTTTTAGTTTAGCACTGTAACTGAGGCATTGTTGTATTATCGAAACAACCATGTCCAGTTGATTCTGTTGCAGTATATATACTCGCATGTTATCGTTCCACAGGAATCCGTTAGAATCAAAATCAGAGAAGCTTGTCTAGTAAGGGAGATGTTTCGTAGAGGAACGATTTCGAGACGACTTTCTCTATTTCGCCAGTGTTTACGACGCCGTGGCTGGATCCGTTCGCTCGGACGTGTCTCGTGCCGCGATTTAAGTCGGTTGGCGTGCTGCCCGTAAAGAAACGAAGCCTCTTGGCTCTCCTTCTTCGTTAAGTTGCGATGGAGCCCGGGTATTTTATCTTCCGTCTCTGCACCGGACTTCGCCGGCCGCCTGGTATAATTTACCGTGACGTAAAAAGGTCTTACGTCCATGACCAGACCATGATATCAAGGCTGCCAGTGTTCGCTGGAGGAATCGTGTTAACGGGAAAGAAGGATGAGAAACGAGACGAGCAACTGTATTGATAAATGAGAACGTAAGCTAGCGGATATGTACCGAGGGCGCCAAGGATGTTCACTGCACCCGAGTAAGGTGGATCTCGAAAGCGTGAGACAAAACGGTGGGATCATGTCCAATAGAGAGTTACACACACTCTATAACCTTCCAGGGTTTTTAAGACTTCCCAGAGAGCGTGATCGACTGGCACAGACCGATTAGTCTGTTCAGGAAATAACTTCCACCTGGATTTATAAATTTGAGTACGCGTTTCTGGTCGAGTCGTGAGATCAATACAAAATAAAAATATAAACTTCCTAAATTGCATGGTAATGAATTGCTCTACAACAAAACGGTGACCAATGAGAGGCGAGATCAGCTGGCACGATGCGGCCGAGTCAATGAGCGAAACTGAGCTTCGACCGCTCGTTAGTTCGGTCGCCTCGTGCGACCGCTCGACCGCTGGCGCTGTTGGCTCGGCCGCCTAGCGCCAGCTGAGCTGGGATTCGACCGCTCGACCGCTGGCGCTGTTGGCTCGGCCCTTGGCGCCGTTGGCTCGGCCGCTGGCGCCGTTGGCTCGGCCGCTTACCACCAGCCGTGCTCGCCTCTCATTAGTCAGTGCTTTTCGTTAATAACTCGTAAACGAAGCCACGGATTACATTTTCGCTAAGGAAAAAATTACTTCAAATAACCTCAAGAATCACCCCATTCCGGGTGTTAACATATGTTAATTATGGGACTCCCTGTATATAGATGCTAGTTATGTACGAGATATTAAATCGAGTTCAAGGTTCCTTTATTAGCGTTCATAGCAGTTGATTTCTGAACACAACAGTGTGATATTACCTCGTTACGAAGTACAAGTCATCAATATCCTTATATGGACAGTTTAAACAACCGAAACACATGTTTAGCTTTCATAGTCGCCAATATTTACAAAACGTTTACACATGGCTTTGTGCGTAGAAGATTCTGACATCTACGAAAAAAATGTCTTGGAAATAAAAAAACTTATCACTGCATATGCCCTTTGACTTACTTAGCATAACTTCGTCTCAATTGTGCTTTAAATCATGTCATCACATTCAACTTTCAATTTGTAACATTTTCCGCCACTGTTAAGAGCTTTCAAGATATTCAAAAGATTAAAAGAAGACACATTATGTTTGCATTATAAACAGCTTTACATGTTTTACAGTCCAGGTGATTATGAAATTTTATAGAATATCATTGAAATGAGAAAATAGGATAGTGATGCCGGTTACTGTGTGTGGGATGACTAATTGTTGTGCCTTGTATAATTAACTTCCTAATGATTGAATAAGACATATTAAATCTTCTTATTAAAGAATGAACAAAATAAAAGAATTAAAAAATTTAATATGTCCTATTTGATAAATATAAAGTTAATTATGTCCAAAAACAGACGAAAGGCACAACAATTGATCACCCCACAGTATCTGGTCATTAGCAGCATCCTCGAGTTGTGAACATCGTCTTTTTCGTATTCAATCGGAACGGGAAATATCGTTGAGGAATCTCATGAAGGCGGCATTGGCTCGCAATGAGTACGACTAATATTCAGAATACCTGCTGGCAAGAGTATTGTAAGCCCTCTCGGACCCACGTTTTCAGACTTCCGAGGACTCCGTTGTTTTATAGCCACTCATGAAACGGGAAGATCGGAGGGGAATAAGACGTTGCTAATTGGTTGATTGCTCAGACGCTTGTAAGAGTCTGACGCTTATTCCGCATAGTTTTCAACGTAGGTAGCAGAGTCAGCCTAGCAGAGTGAAGAGGCCTCGCCTCGAGCACAATGAACAACGAAATACACACGACGATGCTTTCGTTCCAGCGTGCATAAGACACTCCTCCCGAAAATGAAACTTCCAACTCGATTCATATTTAGTCGATGTTTCTCTTTCAAGTTTCTTCAAATCAATAACATTTGCGAATAATCAGGTTGACTAACACTTTGATTGTCGTGACACTCATATTTCGGCGACGGAATGATTTGTTCATACTTGAAAATTATTTTTGACGCTATTCAATTTTAAATCGGTCGTATCTTCTTATTTTTATTACGATACGTAAAATGTAAGAACATTGTAAAAGTAATTGGTGCAACTTAACCTTCCAATTTTAATTTAATTAAACGAAATGCTTCGAATATACTAAATGTTCGATAATAACTGCACCTGCTCGCTACACGTTCAAAGATGTCGAAAATCGCGATAGTGTTCCTTGACAGTGCAGAATAATTTCAATGAGAAGACCAGAGGTCTTATGAAGCATGTCGTTGAAGGGTGATGAAGGCTCATAAAGGTCTAAAGGCTTGACAGACGAGGTTGCAATCCTCGAGGGAAGCAGGACTTCTGTTCTGGTCAGACACGCCGGTCACGTAGTCAACGTTACCAAGGTCCCAGCTAACCAGAAACTTCAACTCTCAAGCGGCTGCTCGCCATATCTTACAAACGTAATTCCGCGAATGAGAACGCGGACGACAGAAGCTATGCGGGGGGGGGGGGGCGAGCCGAAGCTAGGAAAAAAAAGGTGTCACGAGGCGCGAGCCAACGTTTCCACGATTATACTGAGCCTCGGATCTCTCAGCAGCTCGTAATTCTCCTCCTCTAAAGCCACCGCGAAGACACGAACGAGCACTGTAACGCACGGAACGGGAAGAGCATTCCCTTTCCTCGACTGCTTTACTGTCGCGATGCTCACGAAATGCGACATCTTAACTTACTCTCTCCGGTCGACCTGTCACTAGTTCACGAGAACCCGAAACTGCATCGCCGCCTAACGGAAACTTGGATTGAAACGTATGTGAAGCAATGGCTGCCTGCTGAAATTTTACTAAATCCAAAGTGAATCCCTGAATTGGCCCGAAGTGGATTTCCGTGTAACTGAGTGTCTCGTAAATATGTATGACTTAATAATTCCATCACTCACCGAGTTATTTCTTCCTAGGAATTCCGAAAGTTCTTGATAACGAATAATGCATTCATTTCTAATTAGGCATCCCGTTGAGGATTCAGCCTTTGTCGACGATCCAGAAATGTTGGAGCTTTTCAGATTTCTTGAAACATCCAACAAATCTGTCGATTTCAAACTTTAACTACATTTACCAATTCTTAGGGAATACTAGATATTTTCTGTAGTAAAAGATTTTAATTGCAATATTTTATTACATGAATGAAATTTGAGGGAGTGGAAACATTAAAAGAATTTGAGGATATTAACCCTTTCTATTGGAAAAGTTTGCTCACATTAGCGACAATTTGTACATACTAATTTTAGAAGTAGTAATGAACGCACAAATAAAATATAATATGATATTAGGTTGGAAATAATTACTTTACTTAAATAGAATTTGCAGTAATATTGTATTAATACAGATCATACATAATTTTTTGTCCTGTTAAATCTCTTGAGGGGTCACAGCCGAATGTAAAAGTTGGTTTGATATCTAGTGTGGGGTTTTCTTTGATCGCTTCTTTGGCAAGTAAATCTATACTTCTTGGTCGTCCCACCACTCCTCTATATATTTAAATTTTAATGAAATTTTGGTATTTATTATTTGATAGAAACTTGGCTATTGATGCTATAACCAAAAGTTAGCTTCTGTATTGAGTTAATTACGTTGTGAGTAACTCCCACCAATCAGTCCCAGTCCCACCAACAGGTGACTTCTCTTCCCGCAAGTAACCGATCCGCCTTAATTTGTATATATAGAAACTTCGTCCGTTCTACTGACATCCCAACGTCTAAGGCAAGGACCCGCTAGGATAGCTTTACTGATGAGTCCTTTAGCGGATCCCGAACGAAACGTCATCCCTCTCCCTTTTCCTCAACTCCGTCATCAAAGCCGCCGCCAAAGCATTATATAAGTTGGTAATATCCAGTGTTTGACTAATAGCGCAACCCTTTGCTGTGTAAGATTGATGTGTATGATGTAGTACCTACTGACTGAGAATTTTCTATTATACTGCCATCAATATATAGGGTGTCCCAAAAATGTCTCGCAATTTGAAAATGTCTCGACTTCGTTCCTGAAGTCATTCGAAGTAACTTTTTCCTTAGTGAATCCACGGCTTTGTTTACGAGTTATTAACGAAAAACAGTGACCAATGAGAGATGAGAACAGCTAGCGCGGGACGGTCGAGCCAATGAGCAGAACTGGGCTTTGTGCGCTCTTTGGCTGGGCTGTCTCGCGCCAACCGAGCTCAATAAGATATTAGTAAGTGTGCTTATTCTGTATCCCAATGCCAATCAAATTTACGTGTATGTTATAGTAGATGGAATTGTTCAACTGCGGAAACATAGAATCTCCGAAACGCGTACAACTTTAGCGCTTTTCATGTACGGTTATAATTTTCCTGCCTCGTTCATTAAAAGCGTATGTTGCGTGGAAGGAAAGAAGTCGGGTGATGTGTGGTTAAGTCCGAAGGACATTTGGCAGCGGTCGTTGCCAAGAACGTCGCAGAATGTAGCACAAGATGGGGGTTAAGGCCAGTCCATTGGCTGCGAAGCGTTTCTAATCTGTTTGCGATTGAAACCTTTTATCGCAGCTTCATTCGGACACACCACTGCGTCTATCTGCGTTGCAAAGTGGCCTGGGTCGAAGAATTAGCTGTTTTTTTGTGCTAAAAATGGTCAATTCTGGATCAGTTTGCATCGCGACGACTAGCGTTAGGACGCGGATAAAATCGATGCCTCGCCCTCGCTGCTTTCGCGAGATTACACAGCTTGAATTTTTGCACCGGGGACCGAGTGTAATCGGCTCAGAGATTCTCACGGCTCGTATTGCCAACTGATATTTATCTTGGAGGATTGCATGGCTCGAAATTGCTAATTTTAAGCGAGGATGGCACTGCGAATGGTCGGATCTCAACGCATCGCTTGCTGCATCGCGATGCAGAATACGATTTAATCTATACTTGGCCTGGATACTTTCCGGCTAAATATTTGAAACACTTGTGCCGAATTGTTTAATCACGAATATCAACCTATTAACGCGCAAATTGTTGTTTTACTTTTTCTCCGTCGGACGTTCTGGAGTCTGTAGTCGGAGATACCAGTTACCGATAGCGTAGACAGAATGATAATACTGCTGTGTTAATTCGAATTTTACGTTAATGAGGCTTGTTAGAAGATACATAAACACGTACGAGGGCAGAAATAAACTGATCACTAGACTGCGGATGTTTATGCATGACAAATATGCAAAACGTGCAAAATATTCACGAAAACATGTTATGTTATTCTGACATATTATACTTCGAATTACAATATATTACAAGCAGTTTTTATAAATTTGATGCCGTTAGTTGGTAGCGTTTGTCAGTAAAAATTAATTTGTATGCTAAACATGACCACTC